CGATGCATGCTTATTCGCGGATCTTTGTTAATTAAAATCTCAGTAACTATTGCGAATCTAGCAAAATGGTATAGGACTTTTCGACTCAGTTTTATTCCTTCTACCTGCCTACGAGAAATGTTAAACCAATTCTGGGACACCCTGTATATATACACGTACAATTTCCGCTCAACATCCTGGAAACGGCTCGTAAGGCCTTATATATTTCTTGGTTTAATTTTAAAATATTGCGACAAAAACACTTCGGCCAGGAGTCGAACCTGGAATCTCCGGCTTATCGTGCCGTTGCCCTTCCAATTGGCCACAGAGGCACTAAAAATATAATATAAAAAATATAAACAGGGTGTTCCATTTTAATATACTACCTGGAATATCGCAAGAACTATGCATTTTCAAAGAAAATAATTCAGACAAAACTTGTTTAATTTTGAGAGAGAAACAAAATGGCGTCATTGATTTTAGTGGACGTTTTCAAAGTCAATTCAAAGTCAACTGTGGTTTTAAATAGAAACTCATAGTTTTATTTACGACATCTTATTCTATGTAAAACAACAAACAACTTTTATTTGAACCATTTTTCTATCCGAATTTCATATTCCAAGATATAAAAAAATGTATTTGTTTTTCAAGATGTTTTATTATAACATTTTTGTTTTATTTGCAGATGTTAATACCACCTTACCTGTGAAATTTACTGCAATAAATGTTCAAAGTGGTGACCTTGCACTTCCAAGCAGTTATTTACACGTTTTATGAAAGAATGGTGTACATAGGAAAGTGATTTTCTTGGTAAATATTGACAATAACGAACCACTCTCCGATCAACTTGAGCTTCATATATGTTGTCAAGGACATTGTCCTGAGTAATATGCAAAAAATTTTAGCCGTTACTCGTTGTTTCTCACAAAGTTAATAACAAAAAAAGTTTTGTAAATAAACTCTTATTTTTCTTTTATTTTATGTATATTTTCTTTGTGTTGTAAGTGTGTAAGCAGAGGGGGCTACGCCCTCCCGCAGAGGGAGGGGCTTCGCCCCTCCTCCCTGCTTTTTCCGTGTTTTGCGTGTATAATGCCTTGTGTTTATATTGAACTATTTCTTCTGAATCGACTATTCAATGAACAGTGAAAGAAATAGTCCAATTCACAAATACAGAAATAAACAATGGCAGTAATGAATAGTGGATTCAAAAGAAATAGTCCAATATAAACACAAGGTAATATACATGCAAAACACGAAAGGGCCAGCAGAGGGAGGAGCATAGCCCCCCCTGCCTACATACAACACGAAGAAAATGTACATGGAATCGAAAAATAAGAGTTTATTTATAAAAATTTTGTTTGTTATTCACTATTGAATAAACAATGAACGACAGCTAAAACGTTTTGCATGTCACTCAGGACAATGTCCTTGACAACATATGTGAAGCTCAAGTTGATCGGAGTGTGGTCCGTTATTGGCAATATTTACCATTTTCTTGATACTTTTGCAAGCAATTTCCTATATACATATAAGCGGCAAAATATCTATTGATTTAAGATGTAAAAGTACCATAAAAATAAATAATTTTTGATTTATTACAAGTTAATACAATCAATTATTGAAAACTAAAATAATAAACTTATTAATAACTTTCTGAATTATGTTAGATGTGTATTTTAATAAAACCACGAAAATGTGCAAATGTCCCATTAAGTGGACAACTTAAAATGCATTTATAACTAATAATTTTCAATGTTATATAATCATTATTTTATTTTATGTTAATAAAGTTTTATACTTTATGATAAAAATTTTTAATTATATTAAAAATTAGGATACAAAATGAATTAAATTTGTATTATTGTCCAGATACCGGGACATGTTCGCATACTCGGACATTTACCTTATATATATTCATTACACAATAAACATCCAGCGTCAGACTCCTAGGACTTTTCTAAACTTTGTATAGTTTGTAACTAAAAGAGCCTAAATCATTATTATTATTAATTGTTTAATTCACACCTCATTGTTATTAATTGTTTAATTCACGGTCGAAAATGGCGTTATCTTCAGAATTCTTGATATCGAGAATATACGTATAATGCGAAACAGACACCAAGTGCCTCGTGGCTCAATTGGGAAGGCGACGGCACGGTAAACCGGAGATTCCAAAGTTCGACTCCTGGCCGAGGTGTTTTTTTTCGCAATATAAATATTTTAAAATTAGTTAGGGGGGAAAACGAGTATACCCCTCATATACGTGATACAAGTACAGCATCTTATATAAATTTAGAAACTGAAATTTTGTTTTAAATTCACATGGAAAAATTTACATGTGAAGTATAATATAAAATACACACACACGCGCGCGCGCGCGCGCGTGTGTGTGTGTGTGTATTACGCAATAAACATCCAGCGTAAGGCTCCTTTCTAAACTTCTTATATATTATTTATCAAGAAAAGAGAAGATTATATAATTGCCTCGATTATATAATTGCTTAATTGACTCGAACCTGGAACTCTCTGATTACCAAGCGGACATTCTATCAATTCAGACATTGAAACTTTCAAGATCAATTTTTTTTAAATTAATATGTTAATGGCATTCAGTGATATTGTTACTGATTCTCAGTGAAACTATTTGTCACTAAATAAATCAGCGAAAGTTTAACTGATTTCTAGTGAAACTAATCTGTCACTGACATCTAACTTTAAAAAAGACATTTTTTCACTAATATTATTACTGATTCCTAGTAAAAGTTTTTATTACTGAATCAATTCGTAAAATTTTGACTGATTCTACTTAAGAGAGTGCAATTCGGCTATATTACTTAATCGCTTTTCATATCTATTTAGGAAAAATCCAGTATTTACTAATAAAACGATAAATATTGTACGTGCATAAAATAATATATATGTATATATTTTTTAATAATATAAAAATATTGTAATATTATTTAAAATTAAATATTATACATACAATTTAATGTTAAAAGTAATGTTGTAAAAAAATATAAATGCTAAAATATTTCACATTAATGTCATTTTAATATTTATATAAGTGTTGTCGATTAAATATTTAAATTTAAACATAATTTTATGTATATTATGTATATAAATTATATACTTTATAAAAAATATAAATTTAGGATATATGTAAATGATCCTTTATAAATTTAGTTGAACTTGCAAGTCTTGCTTGGTTTTTGCTCTCATTTTGCTGTCGGATTGTATCGCATAGATCTTGCTTCATATTTGGCGTCAACATGGTCTCAAGTTGTGTTGCCAATTTTTGCTCGGTGTTTGTCAGCATTTGCTGTTACGTTTTGTCAAAATTAAGGTTATCAGAAGGTTTTCCTCTTATCGATATATTTACTGTTTTAGTAATTTTTTTGTTTGTTTTGTCGAGAGATGACGTGCGTTTTATTTCTAGAGAGACTGATACTATAATAACGAATATAATAACATTTACCAAAAATATTATGTATTATTTATAGTAAATGTGTGAGATAAATAAAAGTCGAAATTATAAGAGCATTCATCTCATTGAGTGTTGCTAAAGTAGTACACTGTAATACGTTGATAACAAGTTGCCATTACTTCCCAATAGAGATCGCAACTTTTGAGTAAATTAGACATAGGACATAGGGAATATAGAATATAGATGTGTGATGTGTGATGTGTCAAAATAATTTTTTGTATATTTTGTACCTTTATCCAACTTGTAAATTGTTACATAGAATGGCGTATGGACTAGCTCTAACCGAACCAGAAGCCATACGCGCACCAAACCAAACCAATTTGTAAATTGTGTGAAATTTTAATTTTCATTGAATTTCCAAAAAAGTACAAGTTTTCAAAGAAGAATCGTGAGTGGCAACAAAATGTCTGGTTACAACAGCCAGGACAACTACTGGACTCAATCACAAGGACAGTTTAACTTTGACGCATCTGGTTTTGGTCAACCTAACCAACAACTCGAATTCCAAACATACGAACAACCGCCCGGTGATTTTTCGTATGGACAAAATAGTTATCTCGACCCTTTGCAAAGCTCTTACAGCGGGGACTTATTTACGCAAGATAATTATGGAAAAGGTAAAAAAAACTTGTAGTCTGATTTACAAGTTAATGGATAACTCATTATTGCTTTACGCGCTAGTTAAATATCGACGACAAACGCTTATGTTTTTGACATATCTATAAGAAATATCAAAAATATCTACAACATTTTTGCAGGCAACTCTGGCTTTGGAGAGGAAGAAGATGAGCCTCCTCTATTGGAAGAACTTGGCATTGACCTTGACAGGATAATGCAAAAGACTCTGGCTGTGTTAAATCCTTTTCACAGAAAGGGACAGATTGATGATGCAGATTATTTGCTACAAGATTCGGACTTGGCAGGACCTGTTGGATTCTGTTTAGTTCTTGCAGCATTTTTGCTACTAGCTGGTTCAAAAGCTCATTTTGGTTATGTGTATGGCTTAGCCATGACTTCGTGCATACTGATGTACATCCTACAGTCTTTAATGAGTAGTAGCAGTAACATTACCTTATCGTCCGTTGCATCTGTATTAGGCTACTGCCTATTACCTGTAGTTGTTCTAGCAGGATTCAGTGTTTTCACTAAATTACAAGGTCTGCTTGGTTTGATTGTTGCCATTTTGGCAGTCAGCTGGGCATCTCTATCTGCTTCTAGGCTTTTCTCTACTATGTCAGGTGAAGAAGATCAGAAGCTTCTCATAGCATATCCATGTTTTCTTCTTTATGGTGTATTTACATTGATAATAATATTTTGAGTGTAAAAGACAATTTGGATGTATACATGAAAATTCAGTTTTTAATGAGCTTGGAGTGAACCGAAAATTGCTCATGAATTGATTTTAGTGCCACTTTTTGTAATATAGTGAAAAATTACACGTCTTTTTAGTTTCTGTATAATTGTATAATTAAAACTAAATTGTCATTCATGATTGGCACTGATTAAAAGAATACGCAGTTATTCACTATCTCAAATACTATTTTAAGATTTTATAATTTTTTTTCTGGGATTTTTATTTTAAAATAAAGGCATGTATAAAAAATAGCAACATAGTTGAACAAATAGATTAAGTTATGTGTTATATAATTTTCTAAAAAAATAAATAATTATACAATATCAATTTTGTATTTGTGTGTAACCAAATATCTCCTTCCCTCTCTTCCACGCCATTGTATTTTCTAGTATACTTCAAAGTATATTTAAATAATACAATTAACTTTTTACATGATACAACATTCAAAAATTTATAGTATATGATTAATTTATCTTATGGAAGCAAACATCAATTTTAAATAAAGTCAAATAAGTTTTATAGATAGTGATTTAACAAATTTATAAGAGCAAAACATTAAAGCTATAATATTGATATCAAAAAAACTTACGAAAAGTCTTATTATAACTTATCAATATGTTGATAATAAAAGTAATATAAAGATATATATATATTTTTATGTGTGTAGTCACATAATTTTCTTTAATAAAATACTTGAATGTGACAACCTACCTACCTAAAATATTTTGTCTTTTAATTGTCTTCAAAATTTAAGGTTCTTATATACGTATGTATCGTTCGATATATATATTTCAATGTGGACCTTTGTTTTTTTTCAGGCCTTCCGTCTGACCCAGTACAAGTCCAACAACCAATTTTAGTTTGTACAGCACATATTCATTGGGATCCCGAATTCTGTGATGTGAAATTGATACAGACGATGATGCTAAGCAATGAGTTACGTTCCATTTTGGACCAAGCTGGCCAGTCATTCAGACCCGGTCACAAACCTGACTCTTCCAACGTTCAACTGTTACTTTGTGGCGACTTTAATTCCTTACCTGACTCCGGTGAAAAAATTTAGTTTTTGAAAATAATCTCTCGCAATTAGTAATAAATAGTCAGTAATAAATCTGTTATGCAGGTGTGATTGAGTTTCTTACATCTGGACGTGTGGCGGCTGATCATCGTGATTTTAAAGACTTAGCGTACAAATCATGTTTACAAAAGATCTCTGGCTGCGACAAACCTAACGAATTTACTCATTCGTTCAAGCTTGCATCTGCCTATAGTGAGGATATCATGCCTTATACCAACTACACGTAAGTACATACAATGCATTTGTATATGTATACATTGTAGATTTAATATGTTTGAATATTCACAACACAAAAATGTTTTTTGCATTGTTAGATTTGAATTTAAAGGCATAATAGATTACATTTTCTACTCGAAACAAAGTATGGTACCATTAGGCCTCTTAGGTCCATTGAGTCCAGAGTGGTTTAAAGAGCATAAAGTGGTAGGATGTCCTCATCCTCACGTACCATCTGGTATGTTATATTGATCTTAAATTACTTGTCAATGAAATCTGTATTTGAAGTGACTTTACTGGTGTATTTTATTTTTGTTTTAGATCATTTTCCTCTGTTAGTGGAACTAGAAATGACACCGACAGTAGGAACAAGTAATGGTTTGATCTCACGCAGGTAGCAGCCGCTGCGATCTAGGCCCAAGTAATCATAAAAAGACGATGAATCAATAACAAAAAAAAATTAGCATCATTTTTTCTCTACTTACTTCTGGCTCTAGTACTATCACTCGCAGTCGATTATTACTTTTACTCTCATAGTAAATGTTGTACACACATATACTCCATACATTGCCGCACATTCAATCTGCAGCGATCGCTGTCAACGGAACACCGACAAACATACAATTCTAACGACCAGGTGAAGGGAGCCGTGTTGTAATGCGTTTAGCTAGCCCATGTATAGTGTATTGCATTTTTAAGAGATAACTGAACTCCCATGCCTAAAGAATTATCGTAACCTCTCTATTTACCATCATAATATGTAGAGATACCTATTTTCCTACAAAAAGTAAAGAAAGAGAAAATGGCGATATTCCGATCAAGAAGCTTCTGTGATATCGACATTTAACACAATTGGAACAAGTTCATATATTTACTATTAAACGAAACTTAGCGTCTTACTAGCAAGAGATAACCTAACCTAACCTAACCTAACTTAACCCTAACCTAACCTAACCTAACCCTAACCTGAACTGAATCTCCCTTGTCCTCCTCTCCCTCATCTCCTCTTCCTAAATGTCATTACAACATTCTCCAAGCCAACCTTTTGATAAGAATGCTGCCATCCAATGAAAAAAAGAAAAAATTGTATTTTTAAACAAAAACAAAAAAGATATGAAAACATACTGGGCTGTGCGAAGTGATTGGAGTGATTGACTTAAAACAACTTCAATGCAAGTACAAATCTGTTCTTATTGGCCACGTATATATCGATATAATATGATAATGTTATATAAGAAAACAAGGAAACATAGATGATATTGTAGCAAGTGTATTTATAAGTGATATATAATGTAATGATGTTCATCACGCGTTCTATCATAGCGACAAGTGAGATCAGTTCGACATTGCCTATAATTTTTAGGTATCCGATTTCAATTATTAATTTGTACGTACTATACGCAATAATCTATTACTTGTTAATTCAGTTGCCACCAAAAAATCACAAAAGAATTTGCACAAATCTCTTGCGAATAGTTTCGTGTTTCTCGATATTGCATTTTTGTCCGTGTGATATTTTTACTATTCTTTCTTTTCACGTTTTGCAACGTGCAGTTACAGTCCGCCGCAGCTACCAAAATGTAGATTCTAATTATCGTATTAGTTATTGTAGGAAATATATTAGAGAGTGTTTTAAACAATTATTAAACTAGGTAATATAATGCTGTATATGCACGAGTGCAAATATATTTGCACGTTTAATCCTTATTTTTTGTATATTTACCAAAAACAGTGTATATCGGGTTTTTATCGGCTTGTTTACTACATCTCAGAATGCAAATAATAGAACGTGCAATGTGTACATATGATTTCCTACGAAGATTTATTCTGATACTTAAAAAATTTTATTGACGTAGAAATTCATACATTTTTCTTTCTTACTGTATATAATAAATATACTTTAATATATTTTACCTTTTTGTTTTTTTTTTGTTTTTTTTACAGTAATTGCCAATATTGAAATGTAGATTTGTTTTTATTTATATTTAGTAAATATAACAAAAGAATAGTACGCAATTCATATACTTTTCACATTTATAGAACACGTGTAATAAATCTTTGGTTTAAATATCTTACTACACTATCTTATTACACATGTTTTTTTGCATAGTACCGCAAAAAAGGCAATATATTGAGTGCTTTATGTATCATCTTGTAATTTACTTTTTTTCAGAAATGTACAAATATTTTACAGTCCACGTATCATTATAGACTTTTTTGTGTTTTCTTCCTAAAACAGGTCAAATTACTAAAAGACTTACGGGATGCTTGTTATTATCAATCTCGGTAATAGCAACAAGACAGAATAACATCAGTAGCATGGCATACTCAAGAAGATACGTAAGTTTATTAAAACTACCGCACACATTATAAGTTACATATAGTTTTTATTGTAGTGTAGTAATTGATTTTATATTTTTTTGGCACAATTAATAACTAAAACCCAGAATCAATTTTCCGTTAAAATAAAAAGATTTAGGTCAACAACTGAATTATACAAGTAAAGGATTAATTAATTATAGACATGTTTATAGTAAATGTGTATAAAGTAGAATTTATACTATAGCGTTTAATTATATCTTAATAAAAAGATTGCATCTCTCGTATTTATACATTAAGCATGTTTTGACACAAGCAGTGAAGAACGTGATATGTTAGAATCGATTGCCGCTGCTTTTTAGGCCTAATTTAAAATTGTTAACTAAACAAAACGAAGGAAAAGCGTAACAGTAAACTTTCTTTTAGTAATAATGATGACAAAATTTAAGAAAATCTTAGTTTGTTTTGTTAAAAAGAAAACAAATGTGCATGATATAATAATCTCTCTCTTGTGTAACTCTTTTTTTTTTAACAAAACAATGGATTGTGTAAAAAACCGAAGTTTCGTCTTTTAACAATCTATCGATTATACAAAACATACTTTTAGCATAAAAATATCTGGTTTTTTTCACGGCAAATAAAATCTGATAAATTCGGCACAAACTGCATAACAATCCTTTATAATAAAAGCAGACAAGATTTCTTGGCAAAAAAAATATTTTATATAATATTACAAATGTCCCAATGCGAGAAAAGTAATGTGCAAAATATTAAATTTATCAACAGCATTTAAGATTGCATAGAAGATTTTGTCGATAATCAGTCTGTAATTTATCTTTGTTTTTATCTAATAGCAAAGAAACAGGATAATGACGAAAACAAAAATGTATACATTATTATATCGCTATTTGATTCTTTTTAAATATGTGGATATAAAAGTTACGTTCTAGAGTAAATGTAACAGTTAATTCTATATTTTATAACATTTGCGATGAGAAAATAAGATTGGAATTTTGTCTTTGCTCGTCCAACATCGCAAATGAGATCAAAACAATTTATATAATAAAAAAAGAAAACAAAAAAATGCAAACACAGCAGCATTTTTACTTGAAAATGAAAAAAACCAAGTCGGATAACAAAACTTGCTCTCCTGCATTTTCGCTCTCGACTCCTGCGCACCACACACACAAACACACACGCACGCGCGCGCGCAGAGAGAGACAGAGAGAGAGTGTGTGTGTGTGTTCTGCGAATATCCAAAATATTAACATTGAATAAAGAAAGCTTGTGACAGATTAACAATTCCAATAATACACTTCAACAATATAAAAGTACGAACACTTATGTCACATTCATTAAGGCGATGACTTTAAAACGATGGTTTTCCAGCCGATTTTCATCTTACATTGTTACTATGTGTGAAGAGAAAATAAAAAGAAAGTTTTAGATACAAAATATTTTGTAAGAAAAGTACTTTGAGTAATTGATTTGCGTCGACACATTTATTTAGTCTAAATTTATATAATTCATGGTATATACAGGGTAGATCATTTTATTTAATACATGTGAATATCTTGAAAGAGAAAAGTGTCTTAAAAAAAAAGGTTTAGACAAAAGTTATGTGACATTGAGGGAGAAAAAGGTTGACGTTATTACTTTAATTGTAGATAGCGCCATTTTTGAGATTTCATTATGGCCATTTTTTAAAATGAAAGTCGATTTTTTCTTGAAATAAAAGTTGTAACTGGCAATGAGATAAATACGATTTTTTTGAATTTGGATAAATTTTTACTGAGTTACGACGTTCCAAAGTTTCCGCGGCAAATATGCATTTTAGTCACACCTCACCGATTTTGTTGCGGTTTAGATATGTTGTAGGACACGTCATACTGAGACGTCCTTCAAAAATTTCGTGGGGAACGGCTTTGGTTTAGGAGATATAACAATTTAAAGTTTGAGAATTTTAATGGTTTATTAGATATTATAAGCGCTCAGTAATAATATTGTATTGACACAAGATCTGGCTTTGCTCCTCCTGCACCTCCAACCTGATCTTGTGTCAATACAATATTATTACTGAGCGCTTATAATATCTAATAAACCATTAAAATTCTCAAACTTTAAATTGTTATATCTCCTAAACCAAAGCCGTTTCCCACGAAATTTTTGTGGAGGACGTCTCAGTATGACGTATCATACAACATATCTAAACCGCAACAAAATCGGTAAGAATCAATCAATCGCCCGTGACAGGTTCAAAGAAATTAAATAAGGCCGATACAGGCAGTATATACCAGATGGAGGTGTATAAAAAGAATTCTTTATTCAAAAGACCAAACGTTTCGATCCGTAATTTGGACCTT